ATAAAGAGGTTTCAGATCTCGGGGCCCCTGGCTGGGGACTGGTGCCTGAGCACTTTGGCCCTTGCTTCATGGCACAGTTGTGTGTCATGGGGCCAATGTCCCCGTACCTGGTACAGCCTCACGCCACCCTGGACTCTTTAGAACCCTTGGTACCCTCACACCCCGTATCTGACACCTCTCACTGGGCTGCAGGTACCTCCAGTTGCCCCTCTCCAGCCCAGGTGCAGGACCCTCTGCTTGGATGAGGTTCTCCTGGTCCCAAGGATGGCTGCATAGCTTGTGGTGAGATGCTCCAGCTTGGGGCTGGTGCCAGCGTGTCTCCTCTGCCCACGCTGCCCTGCTGCCTGCCTGCAGCTTCTCCTTGCCATGGTTCCTCATCCATGGCAAGCTCTCTGGCTCGAGGTGGCTTTCCAAGCTGGAAACCCGGTAGCCAGCCACTGTAGGCTCCCCTAGGTCAGGTGTGATTCAGCCCTGACCTTTGCTTGCTACTGGGGGTGGCAGAGCATCAGCGTGCCCTCCCTCGGGAAGGTGGCAGCTCCTCTCCAGGAAGGCTCTCGCTGCCCACCACCCGCAAAGGATCTCATCAGCACCCCTCGGAAAGGTGTCCTCACCATCAGGGATGCGGTCAATCTTCAGCTTTCTGAGAATATCTACCACCTGCTGTCACAGAAAAAGCACCTTCCCAAGAAAAGTCGTTTCTGACAGAGCAGAAAACAAGAAATATTGAACAACCTCAAGGAAAAACGAGAAACTAAGTGACTTGTGCAAACATTGCTTTGGCAAAATGCTGTCCTTTGTTTTCTTGGTTTTTTTTCCTCTGGCCTGGGGAGGATTGATATTTCCCTCAACTGGACAGGTCTTTTGTAAGCCATGGGTGGAGGGTACATGGTGTGGGCTGTGTCTGGAGGCCCCTTCCAGCCGTGCCTGGGACAGGCAGGGGGGTTTGCACGGGAGGGGGACAGCACACCAGCTCCCTTTGGGTGCTGAGAAGCCCCGTGGGTGACGGCCACCAAGCCAAAGGCAGGGAGAGGGGCTGGACCCTGGAAGGACCGATGGAAGGCTGGGTCCCACGGATGGGGATGAGGAACAGCGGGGCGCTGGGGGGGACTGAAAGCATCTGGCAAAATAGGTGCTTTGTGCCTGCCTGCCCAACGCAGCCCCGAGCAGCTCGGGCCGTTTGCAGTGCGAGGGCTGCCTTTGTGGGGCTGCCAGAGTGCCTCCTTACAGAAGGGACCCCCTCGGCTGCCCATTCACTGGGGCTCCGAGTGGCGGAGTGGCTTTTCTTCTCCTAATTGGGCCGAGGAGGAGGGGGCTGCCTGGGAGCCCTCCCCACTGAGCCAGCCGTGCCCCCCACCTTCAGAGCGTGGGGATCGGGGACCCCCTGATCCCGCCTGGCTCTTGGCTGTGGGTCGGGGGCTCCACCTCTGCCCCCCCATCCCCTGGCAGGGTGGTGGGGCTGCGGATCTGGAGGCGATTATTTGGGAAAGCCATGTCCTGCATGTGTACATATGGTTTCCTACTCAGTTCCCGGGGGCTTGGAGAGGGTGGGTTCTTTCATGGGTTTATTTTCTTTGTCAGCTCTCTTTCACACAGCTTTATTTTCCTTCCTTTTGTCTCGGGCGCCTTCCTTTCTCCTCCCTGAGCTCAGCCCTGGCCCTGCTGCCTTTCTTTCCCGCCGGGTCGACGGATGCTGGTCCAACCCCTGAGGGGACTGGGGACATGGACCTCTGTGGGGACCAGGGCTGGCACCGTGGCTGGCACCTCGCTTGGGGCATGTGGATTTTCAAGGAAGGCAAAAGCCCATGGCTGGGGTCTGGGAACCCCCGTGCTTGGGGGTACCTGGGTGTCCTTCCCTGGGAGGGGGAACAGGGTCTCAGCCTTGGGGTGGGATGAGGGGGGAGCTCTGCACCCCGGAGGCTCCTGCTGCTTTGCTGATCCTCGCCTCTACCTCGCCTGCTTTTTCCCACACCTCTTCCCAAAATAAAGGCTGGTGCTGTGAGTAGGAGGGTTGGAGGAGAGCAGCGCAGGAGCAGTGCTCCATGCACTTATCACCTGCAAATCACGAGCAAACACAGGTGGTTTCTCAGGCCATCCCCACGCCTTGCCTGGGAAAGAGTAGTTTTGCTGAAAGGCTGACCTCCAAGTCCACATTTCTGGGAGGACACTCAGTCACGTTGTGAAGGGTTACTCCTCTGCAGTGCAGCTCCCATGTGCGCTTTTGGCCCTGAAGGCAAAAATAATCTGGGGAGACTTTGTCCATCTGTTGAGTTTCATGAAATGTGCAAAATATACCTGCCTCCAGAGCGGAGGGAGAGGTGGGTGGTTTTGGAGCTGTGAGCACAGTAATCTGTGAAGTGAGCCCACGATGGGGCTGGAGGTGCTGTGGGCTCTGGTGAGGGTGGGATGCGGGATGCAGCAGGATGCTCTGGAGCCTGGCTTTGGGAACCAAGGTGAATCCTGCGTGTTTTGTGACCTGAGCCCCTTGGCTCAGGTGCTCACAAGCATGGGCTGGAGGGGAATAGCTGAATACAGGGGCAAGACGCTTCCTACTGCTGGTGCTGTTTTCCAGGAGGGCTATCCAAGGAGGTGCAAGGTGGTGTCCAGTTTCTGCTCCATCACTTGCTTATGGGCTGGCCCAGCCCTGACAGTCTCGCACGTGCAATTACGGGCATGACTGAGTGTTGTTGCTGGCTGAGGTTGTGGTTGTCAACCAGAAGGATGGCATTGCTTGAATTCATGTGGCTGTGGGAGCCAGCACTGGCCGGGGCTGTCTCCTGCCCAGCTGATAGCTGCCACCGCTTACCCTGTCCTTGCCCATGGCTGTACTCTGCCCTCGCCTGCACAAGGAAAATGTGGGGAGAAGGAAAAGCAATTACCCCTCCAGTGGCAGTGACCTGGAGCTGTTGGGAATAACTGGGAGAAGAGAGGCATCCCCTGGCTGTCTTCTTTGCCAGCAAAAGTTCTGTCCTTCTTATAATTCAAGTTAAGAAGTTTCCCTTGCACGTGAGCAGGAAGCAGTGCCTGGTGGTCCCCAGCAGAAGAGCTGGATGGGGAGGCTCAGAGGGAGGGATACGATGGAGCCAAGACATCTGCCTGGCGGGGGAAGATGGGGAAAAGCTTCTCCCTTACCTGCTGCACGGTGACCATGTGCCCGTGGGTCTGCCTCACCCCTCTGCCTCATCTCCTGCTTTTTACTGATGGTTTCCAGACTTTATATAAGAAAAGGAAATGGATTGACATCAAAGACACCTCTCTTAATGTGGCCTGAACGTTTGGAGGGGCGGGAAGGCTGCATTTGGGGGATGCAACTTAAAACTTACCACGACTTGTGCTTTTGCAGCCGGGCGTTCAGGAGCTGGGGTCTGGGCAGTTAATGCTGGCGGTGCACATCCTGGGCTTTAATTCCTGGTTACATAAAGCTGCCCTGCACCATGGCAGCCTGCTCAGCACGTGACGAACGCGCCAGCTGTTTGCTGTTTATTTTTATATCCTCCCTCTTCACCTCTACTCTCAGCACCGACTGCCCCGTGCCGCTTGCTGGACGCTGCCTCCATCTGCACCCGGGGCAGGAGCCGTGCAGGGGGAGCTTGTTGATCTGGGGGTGCAGGCATGGAGGTTGAGCAAGGAGGGGTGTCCAGGAGAGCACACATAGGCAGAACCCAGGGGTGATCATGCAGCCCCTGCGCTGTGCCCTCAATAAAGGTGGCAGCAGCGTCCCAGCGGAGAGGAGCCGGGAGTCCCGCGGCGATGGGATTGTTCAGCCTGGAGAAGAGAAGGCTCCGGGAAGACCTTAGAGCGGCCTTTCAATATCTGAAGGGTGCCTACAGAAGAGGTGGGGAGGGACTCTTTGCCAGGAAGGGTAATGATAGGACAAGGGGATGCGGTTTTAAATTGGAAGAAAAAAAGATTCAGATTAGATATCAGAAATAAATTTTTTACTATGAGGGGGGCGACGCACTGGAACAGGTTGCCCAGGGAAGCTGTGGCTGCCCCATCCCTGGAAGTGTTCAAGGCCAGGCTGGATGGGGCCTTGAGCAACCTGCTCTAGTGGGAGGTGTCCCTGCCCATGGCAGGGGGGTTGGAACTCGATGATCTTTGAGGTCCCTTCCAACCCAAACCATTCTATGATTCTATGCTGGGTGAGAAATAACCCCTCTCCCCAGCCTCTGCCTGTGCGGTGACCCCTAGACCTGGGTTTTCATGGTGTCAGCAGAGGTTATGGCAGTATTCACAGGAACATATAGCCCTGCCAGGTTCAGTGCCCGTGCTGCGCTGCCGGGGGTTACGTCAGTGCTCGTGTTGAGATGAAGCGTGGGAGCACAGGGGGCTAGTAAATAGACTCAAAATGCTTTTCTTCTAACTGCGCGTTCTTAGCGCTCCGCATTGACTCTTCATTGCTTGTCTGTTTTCTGATCCTTCTCCCGAATCTGCCCTCTTCCATTTTATTTTTAAAAAGGTTTTTGTTCAGCATCTCTCCGTGCCGGGTCGCAGCGGTGCTGCCTTTGGTCCCCTTTGAATAGCAAAGCGGCTCCTTTCTTCTGGAGGCTTGGCCTGGAGGCTCAGCATCTCTGCAAAAACAGCCAAGGGTTTGGCAGGGCTGTAATTAAGTAGCGAAGGGCCTGTCACAGGACAGGTTGCCCCGGCTATTTTAGGGATAAATTCAATTTCCAGGTCTATAATAGACGATTTGGGGCAGCTGAGGTGATATTGGCTTATACTTACATGCTTTGATCATGGCATAGATGAATGAATCCTGCTGGCCTGATTACCAAAGTTATTTTATTGTTAGAATAAGGGCTGCTGAATGCTTGAAACATTGTGGTGAGGGAACAGCTTCGTGGTGGGAGGCATGCAAGGCTTCTGGTGCAGCGGGCAAACCGCCGCCTGTTCCCCAGAAGTGATGCTGGGTACCATCCAGGGGTGCCATCGAGGCCATGGTGGGACTGTGAGGTTTCCAGTGCCACGGAAACTTGACTAATCGGCTCTTTCTTTCCCTCCAGTACATCGGGAGCCTGGATGTGCCCCGGCCAAACAGTCGGGTGGAGATCGTGACGGCCATGCGGCGGATAAGGGTGAGTGTGGTGGGGATGCTCCTTCCCCTGTGCGGTGGGGTTGTGGGGGTACCATGCCTCGATCTCTGCTTGCGGCCTCGTCTCACCTAAGTCCCGTCCTCCAGGTTATTCATAACTCCGTAGTTTTCACTGTCACTCTCTCCACGGAGATCTCTGTGTAACCCAGGCTTGGTGGCTGCAACCTCGTGACTTTCTGCCACACCATCACCTCTGGAGCATCCCCTGTGCTGGCTGTCCCCCATGGTACCCAGGCACCCCACGTGCTGTGGCTGGGATTAGCTGCATCCCCAGCAGTAGCAGGGCCATCTCCATGCTCGTGGTGCTGTGTCCTGTGCAGGACCATGTGCTGGGGAGGCAGCGATGGGGTGGGAGGTGGGTGCAGGACGTGGGGCTGCCAGCACTGGATGGAAACCATAACACGTCCGCAATTTGGAGGATTTCCTCACGTGTCAGTCCCAGTTCAAAGGCAACAGCAAACTACTTGTGGAAGAGGCACGCTTGGGTTTTACTGCTTGCATTAAGCGCTTCAGCTGAGTGAAAATTCAGCTGCTGCCTGGATGTGCCAGCAGGTTAGTGCCCGGTAAATGGCAACGTGCAAATTAAAGTGCTGAGTAACGAGCTCTGGGGCTGGCCAGCAGTGAGCTTGTTTAACAGTGAGTAGGTCAGGGGATGTCAGCTGCTAATGAAGTCATCTGGCTTCCCAAAATACTTATAGTCAGGATACAGGGCGCTCTCTCCGTATAATGCTTGGCCAATGGCCAGGAGAGGAGCTTTTCCTCTGCTCCGTGGCCTTTTGCCTGCACAACTGGAAGGTGTTCAAGGGCAGGCTGGGAGGTGAGCAAACCACACACCCGGCGGTGAGCTTGCTGCCCCCAGGCTTGAAACAGCAGGAGCTTGACTGCTCTTCAACACACGAGACAGCCCTTTGGGCAGGGGTTGGACCTTGGTCTGACATACATGGTGGTGTGGCCACAGGCGCAGGTAATTTGGTCTGCTCCTGGGGTTGCAAGCAAGGGGTCTGCCCTGTCTTCCAGCAATAGCGCTCTCCTGGAAATAACACTCTTGAATGGAAGGAGCTGAGGATGCTTGCAGGGATGTTGAGTAATGGATGAGCTGTCTTCCTGGGGGCCTCATGGGATTTCATGAGCACTGGGCTTGCTCGTGTGGCTGAGGAGCTCTACCAGGGCTCCTCTCTCAGTCCCTCCTGCAGACTCTTGCTATAGCCTTGTTTTCTCTTTTCTCATCACCAGAGGAGGAGAGGGGGATACCCCAAGGAGAGGAGTATCATACCCGAAGGACACAGCTTGCAAGTTTCTTCTGTTTCAAACTTTCAGCACATAATTTGTAGGCTTTTCTCAGCAGCTTTTCTACCCCCTGCCCTGTCCTCTTGGTGGTAGTTAATGTTGTGGCTGGTGCACAAGCTGGGAAGTCCTGTATGGCATTAGCTTTGCTCACCTTGGTTCCAAACAAGGTTTGGGACAGAACAACTGTGACGCTGTCAGGAGCTCTCGTAAACAGCTGTTTCCTCTGTGGCCTTTCAAGATAAGACTTTTGAAAGGATGCAGCTCCAGCCCCAAAATCACATGACTCCACATCAGCATGGGAGGACTGGCACAACTTCGGGAGCTTAAATAAACCCTACCGTGTTTTTTTTGTTGACCAATATAAATAAACTTAAGCGTAGTTTAGATAATTCATAGATAAAGCTCCGAGTGGCTGAAAGAACACAAGTTAGGGTAAAATAATGATTTCTCAGGATGAATGATGTGTTTGAAACATGTGCGCTGACTTTCCTTGATCTCACGTAAGACAAGAGAGGTGCAAGTCGTTGAAAAGCTGCGAGTTTGCAGACCACATCTGCCAGAGGGACTGTTTATCTGTCGTGGGGTGCTGTTTGCGAAGAGGATGCCAGGAGGGTTTGTTTGATGGGAGTTTACACAAAAAGCCCTTCCCTGGTTTCCCCTGTTTTGCACTGGCCTTGCACCCGGCATTCGCTGGCTGGGCTGGGCACCGGAGGCTGGTTTGAATTTGGCTGGAGGTCAAGGAATATGTGTCCTTCTTAAAGCAGAAGGGTAGTTGCGTTCTTTGAGGAGTAAAGTAATTCCCAACATATTGTCTTGGGGAAACCAGAGGAAGAAAAAGCTTATTTAGGCACAGAGAGCAGGCGGTGGGAGATCTTCAAGTGCAAGCTGCGGTGGTTCTGCATGGGGTGTGGGAAGCAGCTCCTGACCCTGAGGTCTGTATGGGTTTTTTAATGCAGCGTTGTGTCCTGGTGTGTTCTGAATTACTTGCTGCCAGTGACAGAGGGGACCCCTTTCTGTCCCCCACGCCACAGTGGCTCCACTTTCTCATGCTAGCTGCTCGTTGGCCTTTGCCACTATTTACCAAGTGATTTAAAAAAAAAAATAAATGATCCTACAAAGAAGTGAGGAAGCACCCTGCCCCGCAGCATGGGTCCTGAGCGGGGAGAGCACCCTGGAAGTCCCCAAAACTGCCCGTGCTGGGGAGAGACAGCATGGAGGGACAGCAGCATCTCCTCCTGCAGCACTGCCTCCCCTCCGCTCCCCAGCAGCTGGGACTTGGAGGGCGAGCCCTGGAGGTCTGGCTGAACCCGGGGGAGACCTGACCCTTTGGGGGCCAAGAGGAGGACACAGCATAGCTGGCATTGCTGGGATTCCTGCTCTGGCCTGGCTCTGCCCCTCTGGTGCCCCTCTCCTGGGAGCAAAGCAGAGCAACGGATGGTGGGCAGAACAGCTCCACCAGAGTGAGATGTAGATGTTAAGCCAAAATCTGGTCTCTCTTGTGGATCAGGATTGAGAGGGACTTTATACAGAGAGTCGGTGTTGCAGGGCAGGGGTACCATCCCTGTCCTCCCCCTGCTGAAGGGCTGGTGGCAGCATGGCCGTCCTCACGGCACTCGCCAGAGGGAGGGTTTCTGTCCAGAAACAGGAGGATATTGGAGAATTCCCGGGATTCTGGAAGCTCGGGGGAGAGGAGGGAAGGGGAGGTGCTGGGCCGGCTGCCTCTGCCTTCCTGCTCTTCCTGCCTGCTCCGCTGGCTTGCTGGGACACAGCCCTGCCTCCCTCTGCATCTCGGTGCAAATCCCTGGCCCTCGGAAGGACTCGGTGGAACAAGACACTGGCCTGGCTGAGGATGCACTTGGACAGCAATTTATAAGTGTTTGCTGCAGCTTTCCTCCAGAGCCTACATCTTCTGACTCTTCCAGGGCGCCACTGGCCATGTCAGTACTCATAAATCCAGTAGGCTAGAGCTTTGTTTTCCTGACAAGTAGCTGGGATTGTTTGTGTAACTGACTCCCTTCTCTTCCTCATCCCGAAACGGGTGACATGGTCCATGTTGCTTCATGCCCTAAACTTCTCAGCTGGGATTGTTTGTGTAACTGACTCCTTTCTCTTCCTCATCCCGAAATGGGGTGACGTGGTCCATGTTGCTTCATGCCCTAAACTTCTGGGATAAGTTCATCTTCACACCTTGGCTCCTCGGGATGCAAGGTGAGATAAACCGTTACGTAAGTCCAGATAGTTACACTTGGGCACCTGAATTCCGAAAGATCCCAAGATCCACAGAAATTAAAGGCTCGTTAAAACTGCAGCCAGCCTGTCCTGTTGGTGTGAGACTTGGGGACCTTCCTTGACCTAGCTCTCCTGGGAAGGGGCAGCCCAGAGGCTGCAGTGCTCTTCTGCTCTGTGCCAGCCATGGGCAAAGCTTGAGAAATTCAGATGGGAGCTTGTGAATGTGGTCTGGGATGGGCTGTCCATCTGTCAGCTACTGAAGAGACAGTACTGGAGAGGAAGAGACCAATCAGCTACCGAAGAGACAGTACTGGAGAGGAAGAGACCAATTGAGGCATGTTCCCAACCATTAAAGATCGTGAGTTGTTGAAAATTTCACTTTAAAGGGCCTGAGCTAGCTGCAGGGCATCCTCTCCCTCCTCTCCCTCCTCTCCCTCCTCTCCCTCCTCTCCCTCCTCTCCCTCCTCTCCCTCCTCTCCCTCCTCTCCCTCCTCTCCCTCCTCTCCCTCCTCTCCCTCCTCTCCCTCCTCTCCCTCCTCTCCCTCCTCTCCCTCCTCTCCCTCCTCTCCCTCCTCTCCCTCCTCTCCCTCCTCTCCCTCCTCTCCCTCCTCTCCCTCCTCTCCCTCCTCTCCCTCCGACTGGCTGAGCACATGAGGCCCTAAATGACAGTGATAACTGTATGATTTTTTATGTTTTCATGATGTAAATGCTTTCCTCTGTGCTCCTGGCATGTCTCCAGTGCAGCCAGTGCTACCTGGCTGGGGCTTGGTACGGTCGTTCTGTAGGGAATTTGGAATCATCCTTTTTGTGCTGCTTGGATTGGTGAGTGCAGCTTTAATCCAGGTTTTCTTTGGTGCCAGAAAGGATGAAATCCTAGATAGGCACTTCTTAAAAGCTGCTTCTGTGGAAGTCTTCTGCAAGCCTGTTTCTGGGAAGTGTCCAGCTGAGTTTTGCAGGCTCAAAACAAGGAGGCATTTCAAGCACTTTAAAATCTAGCTCCTCTACACCTCCTACTCTGTCAGGTACATCTGATTTTGTTGGACTTCTGCTGCTTTGCATAGCTGAGCTCTATTTTAGCAAATTGGCAAAATAGCTGAATTTCAACAAGCTTGTTTAAAGCAAGATTTTGCATCCTCTGCAAGCCACATACACAGTCGGACTGGTGTGAAAATTGATGCATTTGGCCAGTTATTTGTGTTAGAATGCCTGGTGTAATTTTGAGCTCGTTCAGTTGAAACATTTCTGAGATACCCCTGTTCCTGCCGTGGTGAGCTTTGAAAAGCGTTAGGTCATTTATAATAATGTCGTCTTTTTTTGGTTCGGTTTTCTTTTTTCTTTTTTTCCCTTTGTCTTTCATCGTGCAAGAAGTAGCACAGCCACAGCTGTCCCTGGGCAGGGTTTGAAAGCGAGCTGGCCCTGCGGGGATGGGGATGGTGGGCAGCAGGCTGGTCAGCAGATGCTGGGGCT